CTAGAGCCAAAAACTTAACTTGAAGCCGACATCTCCATCGAATGCCGATATTAAAAATATCTGCATTTTTCCCCCTGTTACTACATGGTGGTATGCTTATACAAAGAAACAAATTTAAATGTACATCATAACCAATGGAAGATGTAAAATCTCAAAGAAGTGTTCTCCAAATTGGAGTGTCTGTCACAAGATGAGGGTTACTTTGATGTGGAGCTAATATTTCCCGCTGTTCGCATTTACGCAGGTTTCATGGAATCGACGCAAGGAACAGCGGTTCGGAGCACGGACCTGTCACTGACAGATTCAGGCTCCATATATAATGGAGTAATTTCATGTGCCAGGCTCTTCGATAATGAGCGTGTTGCTTGTGACAGAGAGCTGTAAATGCTCGAGAACGGCCCACAATCTTATCCCGCCACCAGAGCGCGGAACAGAAACCCAGGTCCTACAAGAAACGCTTTACGCGACAGCAAATGCTTCACACAACAGTAAGAGACATACATGGGGCATACAGAACGGATGAAGGTATGACAAATACACATCATTTCTGTATGAATACCTAAAGGGAGCATTTCAAGATCTTAAGCGAAAAGGAAGAATGTTACTGCATGAATCTTAAATACGATGTGAAGATGGGCATTACATTAATTTGGCTCAGAATATGGAACACTGACGGACTCTTGTGAGCGCGGTAATGAACATTCGTGTGCCATTAAAGGCGGCAAATTTCTTGACCGGCTGATTATCTTGACGCAATTTTAATTTTATATAGAAATCTTGGTGTCTCAGTGAACTAACACCACAATTATACCTAATATTTTAAAGAGTCTGGCACTCATATGTCGTATTTTTTTAAAAAAAGATTTGCTTCATAAATATACAAGTCTTTATGTTTTCCTTGATTCCCAAGCAGTCAAAGTGTACAAACTATTTTCTTAAAAGGGTTTAGAAAACATTTTACACCGACCATTAAATTAACTGGTTTTGGGCTGGGCGACCTTACTTCGATCCCGTCATAGGCATGAACTTCTTCTTTTCGATGAAAAGTTCAAACTAGCTCTGGTATCCACCCATTCCCCTATCTAATGAGTATCTGTGGATCGTTAATTGCGAATAGCAGCCGGAGCTGCAAGCTGACTCTTAGGTCCATCTAATAGTGTAGAGGTTTAGGATAGATGGAGCTTTATCTCCTCTCTTCCATACATTTGCACTGCGTGATGAATAACAAGGGCAACTTCACGTTTGTCTTTTTCCTTTTATGTTGCATATAATGAAGGCACTTTAATACAACCAGACTCGAGAAAATCGATAAGCGGAAGGAAGTTACGTCTCATGTTGAGCATCAAAGCACACTTTCACCCATTGCTTCTCAACCTTTTTGGTACCACGGACCCTTCCCCAAAATTGTCATACGCTTTCATTAAACAGAATTTTAACTATATGAAATCCTCAATAAAATCTTCTCGGACAATCAGCCGCGTTAGCTGGTTACCGTAGTAAACCGACGTTTCGGGAACAAATTCTGTCCCCATCTTCAGGGTTTTGATATGACTGGATTCTCGTAAGTCGCCAGGCGACTTACGAGGATCCAGTCATATCAAAACCCTGATTGCCCGAGATTTTATTGATTATACTCGCCGCGAAAGTCTCAAATCCTATATGAAATCCTATTAGAATGTTTAATTTGTAATCATATTTTTACTCCAATATGGAAGTAAAAATGTGATAAAAGAAAACTTCAAAAAATATAAAATAATTTTACTTTATTTACTTAACTTATGAACCACCAGGGGTCCACGGACAGCAGATTGACAATCACTGCTTTAACCCACAACAGGATGTATCGCACTACAAAGTTCTGTAATACTGTCTGACGTCACATCTGAAGCACTAGTGATTCTCAAGTGCTTTTACTAGAGTTGATGAGCTCCTATGCAGTGAATGTCTGGGAATGTCTGGTTTTAAACAAACACCAGCAGCAGTGTTGCCCAACCCTTCTGTCCACGTGACCTGGCGTGCATCTAACAGATCGGTGCATAATCTAGATGTGTTCCCGTTACGTTTTACGTGTATCTTCTGCTCAGTCCCTCGTTTAGTCTTGGTACATTTCCCGGCAGACAAAACAAGAAACATCATTGCTACAGGATCTCATATTATAACACGTAACTTCCTGTTGACAGTTTCAGGAGCACTAAACTACTTCATTAACTAACAACATCCGAATGAGTCACGGAATAATTTACTAATTAAATAACTTACTTCATCTGTCATTAGCACACCTACTTCATACCGCCAAATCGAAGGCCATCCATACTGAGTTTCTTGCCCCCTAAGTTACGCCAAGAATATGTTTTTGTAGTACAGTAAAATATTCCACAACCATTGCCTACCCATATCATAGTTAATTCTTCAATTATAGTATTTTTCCTAATGGATGCGATGTAGCCTGTACGCAACCAAGTTGAGAAAGCGTCATGAATACGTAGGTATTTGTGTATATCGGCAGCAACTCTGAGCGTGTATGTGGGCCTACTTTTAAAAACGAAAACCGCTCCTCCTTGCAAAAAACTCTTCAAGCTAGACAAGAGCAAATAATAATATTTCTCTTTCGACAGCGTCATAAAAGACCACTGAACTTCACAGTGATGGTTTACACTCTCTGGTCGCAAAATATATCTAAAGATAACCCCCAGAACGTCAGTAAATATGTTGGTCTCGAAATAAATACAGAAAGAATGAATTTTTCGTGTTTCGTAAATATAATGAACAACAAAATAATGGCAGTTTACATTCCTCTAGAAATATATAAATTTCAAGCTCAGGAACACGTCGCTAAAAACGAAAATTATATATTTGAAGAAAATGAAATCAAAATAGGCTCAAGGAACGTTTTCATCCCTCAGTCCCCCCCCCCCCTGCTTTTAAAGGTTAAAGATTAAAATATATCTTATGGTTTGAATGTAAAATACTGAATACTGAATCTACCTGACAAATAATCAAAAGACTGAAATCAATTTCGATCTGATTGTTTGAAATGTTTTAAGTTTATCTACTATTAAATGAAAGGAGGAAAGGAAAGATGAATTGAGAAAGTGTCATATATATATAGCGCAGTTTCTTAAGACTTCTTTTTAAAGTGATAGTCTATTGTTCAAAAAATTAAATCAAGACAAATGTACTGAGTAAAAAATGTAGGTGATATGCTTAGATTTGGAACACGTAATTTTAAATTTAGAAATGCATACAACAGTCTGGTTCAGAAAGCTTGATGATAAAATCGGCTAGGGGGACTCAGGCGATGGTGAAAAGATAATATTAATTTTTCTTAGAGAAATGTGTTTTGAAATTGTGGGCAGTAATGAATAAACTCGTGATAAAATTCAAACGATCAGCTTGTGTGGCTGTCATTAATGTATAAGTAATCTCTTGATCAAACGAAATATATATAAAAGCTAGAGGAACACTGTTTAGTTAATTGGTTAATGTGATAATAAGATAAATGTTAACACCAATTTTTCTTCCTACACGTCAGCCAGCGGCTGAGCAGTGTCTGGATTGTGTCAATGTGAAATTATCTCAGCACGAGAAACTTCTATTGGCATCCGGACTTCAAGCTGTTCTGTTGCACACTGACAGCACTCGAAGCAACCGACAAGTATTCATTTCAACTAACAACGACCAGATTTTATGAAAGAAATATGGTGGCTGAGTCAGGCGGCCTTGCGTGAATAATTATTTAATTTGCGACTGCTAAATCGCTCATAATATGCGTGTTTTATAGGTCTCCAAATAACCCATATTTGTACAAGATGTTATGAAAAGATGAGACACTTTCCTT